CTACATGTTTACTAGTTCCAAGTCAGTCATAACGCACTACCATAAAACCCAAACATCCTACCTGGTTCAATACATGTCACCTGATAGTTCTAATTAATGAGAAAATACATGCTCTAAGTCAAGGCCTTGACTTGAGTCCAAGTATATTTGACAGCACCAGCCACAGTAGTGGGGTTTAACAGACAAATAATTAATGACTAAGTTCAAATTCAGACTTGATTTCCACTTTGTAATAAAAGGAAAATACCTTCACACCAGCTATTTCAATCATAAACATGGCTGCTCCCAGAACGTGGCCCGCGTGGTAACACCAGAATTTGATTCCTGCCACCTCTTTCACTTCATGGAAGTTGATGGTCTCAATCTTGTCCATGCTTTCTTCAAGGTCTGTTTCTGTATATAGCATGTCATCCGCTGATATATTACTGGATATAAGTGAAATGGCTAAATATCAGCTCATCTTACCAGCTTATAAAACAGTTGGAAAAAACTCTTTGTGTATTTTTCCCCACTAACAGGAAGGCTTCCATTCAATCATCCTACGTCTCCTACATTAGAAGTGAAGCCCAGGTGCTCTAATATAGCTCACCTCAGCTGAGTTAAAGCATCTTTCTTTTGAACGGCCATGCTAGAATAGTTTTTTTCAGTTCAGGAGCTGCTCTGTATTTGTCTAGAAGTACCAATAGATTCCCAGCCCTGGGCAGAGATCTGCCACTGAGCTTCTAACAGTCCTCAAAAACCAAATTAAACCGCACTTTTCCCATCAGCCCACAACAAGCAAGTTAAAAGAGGAATGTTTATCAGGTTTCTGACCCAAGCTGCGTCTGCTGAGTTGAGATATGCTCAGGAGCACTGCATTCACATAGAAAAGATGTGTCAAGGCATGTAACAGAAGGAAGAAAAAAAAGAAAAAAAAAGGAAGAGAAAAAGCCCCAACAACATGTAAGTAACAGAGCACTCCTTGTATATTTAATATTTGATCTGACCTTGTCCTGAAAAGTGATTTGTATCTTTAGGGGCTTAAAATTCACTACTTATGCGAAGCTTAGGAAAAAATAGAGATGAAAAAGCATGAGAACAAGAGTGTCTTAAGAGAAAGACATGGGGAAAAAAAGGGTATTATTAAAGGTCCAAATAAAGCAAATTAAAAGAATGAGAGGAAAGCTGGAAAGATTATATTTTTGTTTTGTTTTATGGATAGGAAATTATTTGAGACACATTATCCCTGAGGCAGTAAGACAATTCATTAAGTCTGACCTGGTTATAACATTGCTACTTGTGGCAACATCCAGGTTCATTCAGCCACCTCTGGTGGCTCCATCTTAAGTTTCCTACTGGATATATAGATGAAATAATTCAGGAGTTGAAGAGACAGCTTACCTGACTTTGACATAGTCTGAAAGAAGCCATCTGTAAATAGCTTTTGTGGCATGAGTCATAAACGTCCTTCCTTTAAAACTTGTTTTCTGCAAAAACCACGGTAAAGCCCCACAGTGATCTAAATGGAAACTTAAAACAGACACACAAATCCAATTAATACCTTAACATTACACAACACAAATATATAATATATATCATATAATTCACTACTTCACTGGATTAACATAGCGTCACGAAAACCCAGAAACAGAATTTGTAACCTCCTTGCTAACTATGCTGGTCTATATTCTGCACACTAGGGACTAGAAACCCAACCAAGAAAAGGTAAGAGTAATACAGGAAATTTTCCAATAATTGCAAAGGTTTTGCCCATATAATTTCAGAATTAATTTTTTTGTAATTTACATATAAATTTTGAAGGAGAAAAATAACATGAACCAGGAACAGGATAAATGTCAAAGATATAAGAAAGCTATGAAATATGGTCCTAATTTTGCAGGCTGGATGCTATGGATTAAAACATGAACTACTAAAATAAAACTACTTAGGCACACTTCTACTTTGACCTATCTTAAGGAAGTAGTTTTGAAATATTGGTAGAACAAACATATACCACAAAAACTCTGGACTTGATACAGACTAGCTAAATCATTTAGAAATGGCTCTCCTTGTCTCTCAGCCACCAAGCAGTATTTAAACCACATTCAAAGCTCACATAAGTCTCTGAGAACCTCTTTCACTCAACGTCAATAGAGAAAAAACCACAACCAACACTTTTCGTCAGTCTTTACGTAGAAAACTCATTCTAGAAGCTGTCACAATGCTGTTAAAGCAGGCCCGGTTATAACGTCAGACATCACTGCGAGCTTAGAGGAGAGTTGTAATGTCAGAAGTGACTGAACATCCTTAATTTAAAAAAAGTGGAAACTAAAATTTTGCCATGCCATTACCATCTATGGAATTCTATCTATTTACACAGCCTGTCTTAATAACCTATAAGTGAACACAGCTTAGACCATGACCTTAGTATATTTGTTCCTAAAGGTGCAACTTACTGACTAATAAGGAGGAGATCAATCTCAGCAGGATCTATCAAATCAATGTAGGGAAGAGCATCCATTCCTTCCAGTCCAGGATGGATTCCACAATCAAGCTGAAAATGAAATACAGTTAAATCTTCTAACAGAACATATAAAAAAACCTCTTCTGTTTTGGTGTAAAATATAGTTACTAGTGACTGCTAACTTTTAGCATCATGTAAAAGTAGTATTTTTTCCTTAAACACTGCTTTTAGTGTTGGATTTCACATCTTGGGCTTCTGTCTAGATGTTATCTCCACTGGGAAAATGAACACCTTTCAAAAGATCATAGTCTTTGTTTGTAATTTTGTACCTTTGCAAGCCTTCATTCACACTTCAACAATACCTGAATATACAGAACTAGTGCATGCCAGTTATTTCAGCCACCGTCTGGGAAGACAGCTGGAAAAGGGAATGAGAATATGTATGTGTTTACATGTCATTGTTTACACATAAGTGTAGGCAAACACTAGCCTTTGGTTCCACTGAAACCTAATATGTGTAAATTTTAGAATGTGCACTTAAGGCATACGTTCTGTTTGGGGATATGGATTTATTTTACAGGACAGTCTCTGTAATGTCTACTATCATATATGCAAAACTGTTCCAGAAAGCTACAGAATGTGCCTTATCTAGCACAGTGGCCACGATTTTAACTTATAACATCTTTTTGTCATCTGAAGTACCATGAGAGAGTGTACAAATACATTCATGCAATAATTACCATTATTTTTCTTCCTTTAAATTCCAGAATAATGCATGATCGTCCTACTTCTTGGCCAGCACCTCTGCAAAAGGACAGCAAAGTCACCAAAATTACAGTAACACACATGGATGTACCTTGGATATCTTCAGTGGGATTCTTTTGCTATGGAGAAATAACAACTGCATAGTCCTTTTAAGCTCAGATATTTAAAGTAATTGAACAGTTGTATTTATCTCAGTTGAAATGAGATTAATATTTAATGCAGCAGAAATGAAAAGAATCTGTTCGGGGAAATTATTTTGGCGTCTTATGGCTTTTACTGCATGCCCGCGCACTCGGCTCTCAAAGAATTGAGAAGTATAATGAATGGAAAGTTTACTCAAAATAACAAATTACCTCGGGCTGAATAACCTTTGAAGTAGCATCCTCGAGTTGTCCAGAAGACAACTCTAGTGACACTACCAGAAACACCTTCAAATTGCACTGGCATCTTTACCAAAGAAGAAAAACCACACAACTTAAAACAGCACAAAACTCACAGTGCTGTCGAAGTGCAAATGGCTAAAAAGATGGGTTTTTGCTCAGACAATACTTCAGTATCGCATAAGGAAAGGAGTCAGCCCTTCTAGCCGAGTGTGACAGCTCTCCCGGCGACTGCAGCCTGCCCCCAACGAAAAACCACGACGGGGGGAAAAGCAGCAGCCCGGGATTTCAATGCCCGGGACAACGTTCCAGCCGGGTCAGGCTCCCGCCTCGCCTGTCCCGATGGCGACACACAGCCCCTCCATCCCTCCGGCGGGACGGGGCTCCCACCCGCGGCACTGCCCGGGAGCTGGGTGGCCCCGGTGCCTTCCGGACACCCCCCTCAGGCCCGACGACCCCCCTCAGCCCCCACAACCCCCCC